GGGGCGGGTGGAGGCGGAGCGGGCCGGCCCCGCCGGGGCTCGGGGGAAGTGTAGTCTTTGCCGGGTGGGCCGTAGAAGGCGGGGGGGACGCGCTGAGGGCGCTTCGCCAGCGCCTGTTGCGCTTCCTCTTCCAGGGCGCGGGGAGAGGGCCGGCTGCTGTGTTTGAAGGGGACACCCCCGTCTATATATCCCTCTTATGTGTCCCTCCATCTCCCCCCCCGCCGGGGCACCGACGCTGGAACAAGGCTCCCCCCCCGTGTCACCTCAGGGCAGGGAGCCGGGGAAGGCTGAAGCTGAGGGGGCTCCATGGGGGGGTTTGGGCCCCGTCTCCTTCCTCATGGCGCTGCTTGAGCCAGGCCCAACAGGTTGTCGCTGCTGAAGGAAGGGGCACGGCGGCCATACAGGGCCCAGCATGGCAGCCGGGCCTCAGCCCTCAGCCTTCACCTCAGGGAGAGCCCGGGGGTGAGCCCTGGGGGCTTCCTGGACGTGGAGGCTTTCCAACAACATGGCAGCATCATCCCAGGCCGAAATCTAGATCTCCAGGTGTAGAGAACAAGTCATACGAGGAGAGGCTGAGGGAACTGGGCATGTTTTGGAGAAGAGCAGGCTGAGGGAGGACCTCATTGCCCTCTACATGGAGAAGACGAGGCTGAGGGAGGACCTCATTGCTCTCTACAACTACCTGAAAGGAGGGTGTAGAGAGGTGGGTGTTGGCCTCTTCTGCCAAGGGAATAACGACAACCAGAGGGAATGGTCTGAAGTTGGGGCAGGGGAGGTTTAGATTAGATATCAGGAAGAATGACTTTACTGAGTGGGTGGTCAGGCACTGGAACAGCCTGCCCAGGGAGGTGGTGGAGTCACCATCCCTGGAGGTATTTAAGAAACATGTAGACATGGCACTTCAAGGCATGGTCCAGTGCCCGAGACTGATGGTTTGTGGGTGGGTGCAGTGTGGGTGCGTGGTGTTTGTTTGGGTTTTTTTGTGGTTGGACTCATGGTTTGTGGGTGGGTGCGGTGTGGGTGCGTGGTGTCTGTTTGGGTTTTTTTGTGGTTGGACTCGATGATCTCAAAGGTCCATTCCAACCATGAATATTCTGTGATTCTAAATCCCCTGCCAACATGGGCACGCGAGCTCTGGCCCCCATCAAGCCGCCACAGACATGGCCGACACGGGGCTGTGCCAGCCCTTTGGACTCCCCAGGCTTTCTGGAGCTCGATACAGCCTCGGTGGAGGTTTCGCTTCCCGGAGCAGCTATGCCAGGCTGCTTCTCTGGGAGGTGAGCTATCAAAACGGAGGTGTTCCCCAGCTGCCGGCTGCTGATAGCGCCGGAACAAGACCCGAGGAGAGGCGAGAGCAAGTTGTTAACACAAGCGATCCCTCCTGCTGGTGCTACATAAGGAGATAATGAGGGAACGGAGCTGGTGCTTCACTTTATCTCCAGCGGCCGTCTGAAATGATACTTCACAAAAAATGAAAGGGAATAATGGTCACAACTTCCGAGCTAATTACGATGGGCTGGCAGCGCATTCGTGCGGAGAGCTCAAGGAGGGTTCCTGTCAGCACGCAGGGTTTTTTAAGGTCTCTGGAAGCCATTCCAGACCAGAGATTTATCCTTTAATAGAGGAAAACAAAAGCTGAACTACTGAAGGACAAGGTAGCACCTCACTGGGTACTGCTGAGTGACCCAGAGTGACCCAGCCCAACAAATACAAGGGCAAAGCTGACTGCTTTCTCCCTCCTCCTCCCTTCCTCCATCAAACAAACACCTGGCCTTTACATCCCAAGGCCTTACCTATTCTATAGTCTCCCAAACAATTTAAAATGAGAATAAAAATCACAGAGAATGTATTGTGCTTGTCCTTCCCCATACAAAGAGCACGTTTCGTTTTCGTTAATCCGTGAAAAGTAATTCACGCGGCTGGCATTTAAATTATAAAGATTCAGATGATTAATACGTACTGAAAAAAGAAAAAAAAAAAATCTGTTTGTGTGCTTTATCACAGGCTTAAGGGAAAAAATGGCTCCAGGCCTGGCCCTGTGACAGACTGAGCACTGCCACCTTCCAGTGACGGCAGCGGAGCTGTGCATGCTCATTCCCTCCGGCTTACGGTAATGTGTCAAGCATAGCAATATATGGGTGTGTGTGCACATGTCTGCATTCCACTGCACAGTCTTTAATCTTTCACAGCCTGGGATGGGCTGGAAGAGGACAAGGTGAACATTTTGAGACAGATTTTCATTCTTGCCTCCTACTAATTCTTTTTTACGCGACTGACGGTCAGGTAGCAGCATCGCCGGCTGCGTCACCCTGCCAGTGCGCCGTGTACTTGGGGATAAATCAGCAGCCTGATAAATCAGATGTGCCCGTTCATCCCTTAGCCTTCCCTTCATAAGTAGCAGGAACACAGTAAAAATGCAAAATAGGGAAGCCTCTGTCCTCTGTGCAAATGTGTGGCCACTGCTGAGAATGGGCACCATTCAGGGCACGGGACGGTGACAATCCTGGGCTAACCCATTTGGAAGGAATGTCAAGGAAATTTTTTGTAGCATCCATGTCTTCACATATTGGAAATAAACACTTGTGTCATTGCTTAATAGTACTTCATAGTAAATGCTAGGTAGCACCCTGGTGAAATAATTAGCTTTTACTGTCAAAGCCGACGGAAATTTTGAGGTTTTGTTTACTTCTCTAGCCAGGTGTTTTTATGAAAGCTCTTGATAAACTATGAATGTAAAGTCAAAAGCATTTCTCCTTCCTATTCTCTACATTAATTTCACTGAGTAATATTCAATAGAGGACTCTTATCTTTTGTGGTGACTTGACCCTAATTAACATGAATTTTTTCGATGAATGACATTTGTAAGTATTCCAGCTATATGCAGACTTACCGTCATGATTGATTGCCCAAGCAATTTGTGCAACAATAAACTTTCATTACGGAATCTTTGATAAAAATCACACTTCTCTGGCAAGCTAATAATTAATGCAAATTAAATGCATACCTATTTACAAGCTTTATACACCGTATCTGGCAAACGGGATGAGGAAGTTGTGTGTTATATCACTGAATACAGGTCAGACAAGTAACTAACTAAATCTTTAAGCAGCCTTAAAGGAAAATTCAGGAAAGAGGGTGTCTGCCTTGTTAGTGGACACCCTGCAGAAGTTTAGCAACGAGTCCCACCAGAGAGCACGGCAAGAACCACTCTATTTTCACAGGCAGTGCAAAGAGCAACATCACAGTGGGATTACTCTCCAATCTGCCGCATCCTTGAAGGTTGCACTGATTGCAAAGTTAAATCTATTTATAATGGGTCAGAAGAGTGGTTAATTGTCAGCGACGGGTTGTATCTGAACCCGTGCTGCTTGGTTGATGAGAACGGAGCACTGCCAGGCAAAATACCAGGCATTCATTTCAGGCCCAGGATGCAAGATGGAAAATGTTAAGTTTGATCTTCACCCAGCGCTGTTCCCTCTCTTCTTTGTCATTCACCCTCAGGAAATGGGTCATTCCCGGGCGAAAGCAATTATTTCTCAGAGGGACTTGTTTCTTTGGACGGGCAGTGACAGAAGTTTCCAGCTAACCAGAAACAAGAGGCTCGTGCAGCGTGCCAAAGACCAGACAGCCATAAAATAGAAGATGCTCTGTTTTGTCAAGAAGTGAAAGTTATTGTCAGCCTTCAGCTACAACTCAGCGTGCTCTCCATACCACGCGTTATGGAGAAAAGATAACTAAAATCTGGCATTACCTTCATCAAATCCCTGGCAGAGCTGATCCTGACCAGCACCCAAGACAAGCATTTTTGCCTGACCTGGCCCTAAAAGCACTCTGCGTTTCAACATTTCACTGGAGGAAGAGGAGAGAGAAAACACAAGTGTGAGCTAGAGGGAAGATATCAATATCATCACAACCCACAACGAATGCAATTTTTTCCTATTTAGATGTGACACTCTCGTGTCTAAAAAGCATGGGTAGGCCCCCAGCTGAACACTACTTAAAATATCATAAATATTATTAGTAGTGCCAGCTATCTACAAGGAGTCAACAACAGTATGTGCTTCACTGCATGGAGCAGCTTCGAGTTCCTCTCTTTTTTCAGTGGTGCCCAGTGACAAGACAAGAGGAAATGGGCACAAACTTGAACATAAGAAGTTCCATCTAAACATGAGGAGGAACTTCTTCACTTTGAGGGTGGCAGAGCCCTGGCAGAGGCTGCCCAGAGAGGTGGTGGAGTCTCCTTCTCTAGAGACATTCCAAACCCACCTGGACACGTTCCTGTGGGACCTGCTCTGAGTGGACCTGCTCTGGCAGGGGGTTTGGACTAGATGATCTCCAGAGGTCCCCTCCAACCCCACATCATTCTGTGATTCTGTGATTTATCACACTTGTTAAACCAATTCTGCGCTTCCTTCCAAACTGCTGCTGAACTGCATACTCTGTGATTCTGTGATTTATCATGCTTGTTAAACCAATTCTGTGCTTCCTTCCAAACTGCTGCTGAACTGCATATATTTTGTTGCCCTTCACTTGAACAGGCATTATTAAAAGCCTGAGCACTAGCCACCACACTTGCTGTGGTATGACAGAGGGGTGTTGGTCACCACCCTCCTCGCGTCCTTGTCCTCGGAGGCAGAGTACAGAGTTCTGGAAGGACAGGAATCACCACTGAGCAACTTCACTCCAGCTTTCATAAACCTTTGGCTTAATTAATAGTTAGTCGATGGTGGTTAGGAAAAAGCATCCAGCTTATTTTGAAGACCTGACCTGGTAACTTGTCCTGTATAGTTCCAACTGAGTAACTTCCATATCCCTGGCTTATTTTGAGGA